GGGTACCAGAAGGGGAAGAGGAACAGCCACCAGTGGAAAACTTATCTGAACAAATAATAAAGGAGAACTTCACCAATATGGCAAAGGAAATACACTTCCAGGAAATCCAGGAAGCTCAGAGAGTCCCAAAGAACTTGGACCCAAGAAGGAACACACCAAGGCACATCATCATTACATTAGTTAGCCAAGATTAAAATGAAGGAGACAATCCTAGAAACAGCAAGAGATAAGGGGACAGTCTCCTACAAAGGAGTTCCCATCAGGCTGTCAGCTGATTTCTCAAAAGAGACCTTACAGGCAAGAAGGGGCTGGAAAGAAGTATTCCAAGTCATAAAATCCAAAGACCTACATCCAAGATTGAACTATCCAGCAAAGCTTTCATTTAGAATGGAAGGGCAGATAAACTGCTTTTCAGATAAGATCAAATTCAAGGAGTTCATCATCACCAAGCCCTTATTATATAAAATGTTAAAGGGACTTACCTAAGAAAAAGAAGATAAAAAATATAAACAGTGAAAGATAGCAAACTCACAGTTATTAAGAACCACACCTAAAACAAAAGCAAACTAAGAGGACAGCTAGATCAGTAGCAGAACCATAGAAATGAAGATCACATGGAGGGTTAACAGGTGAGTGGGAGGAGGAGAAGGGGGGAGAAGGTACAGAAAATAAGTAGCATAGATGGTAGGTAGAAAATAGATAGGGGGGAGGGCAAGAACAGTATGGGAAATATAGAATCTAAAGAACTTGAGACACATGGTCATAAACTAAAGGGGGGAATGGTGGGGGAGGGGTGTGCAGGATGGAGGGGAATGAAGGGGGGAAATAGGACAACTGTAATGGCATAATCAATAAAATATATTTTAAAAAAAGACTGATAAAGCCTATGATAGAAGTGGAGATCCAAAAGGAGCTAAACCTTACTGGGTGCCCTCCAACAAGTGCTTTCACAAGCTTTGAAATTATTTAATTCACAAATAAGCTGCAAGTAAAGTTTGTGACCAGTTACTTTCATCTTTCCAGATTTGGAAAGAGGCTCTTTTGTAGAGTGAAGCACTGGCACCAGGGTCCAGGCTCAGGTTAAGACCAACTCCAAAACCTGTCCTTTTTTCAACAAGAAGTATTCTCTATGCTAATTTTCTGGGTTCTGAATTTCGAAAATGTTTGCTTTTTAAGCTATATTAAAAAAAAAAAAAACCCTAAATGCCTCAAGGGGAAAGATGCTAAACTCTGACTCACTGGGAGATATAAATATGTTCACTGGGCAGTCAAGTGTACTCATTTTTATGCAGAGTTTGAAACAAAGTTTTACCTGCCATATTTATACTTAAGTTTTTTTTAATACATCATTGAAAGAAAAAAATACTCTACAGTGAATTTTTAAAAAATAAAGGCCTACATATATCCAATCACATAAAATCTTACAAGCTACACAATATGGCAACATGCAGAGTGCTCAATCAATGCTCTGAAGGTATAGGCACAGCTCTCCAGTACATTATTTGATCAAAACATAATAGGGCCCTGGCTGGTGTAGCTCAGTGGATTGAGCGCAGGCCTGCAAACCAGACAATCGTGGTTTGATTCCCAGTCAGGGCACATGCCTAGGTTGCAGACCAGTTCCTTGCAGGCCAGTCCCCAGCAGGGGAGGCATGAAAGGCAACCATACATTGATGTTTCTCTCCCTCTCTCCTTCCCTTCCCCTCTAAAGATAAATAAAATATTTAAAAAAACATAATAGGAAGTGGTGCAAGAACAAATGAGAAGGTTTCTCTTAGAGTTAGTGTTCACTTGACATTCAGTTGTATTACTATAAGTAATGTGTTTGTCTACTATAAGAATACAAGCAGGTTTAAATATTTCATTGGTTCTACACTGAAAAACAATTTTACTCTTCCTCTTTCAAGAGTCTACATCAGTTAAAAAAGCATTGACCTTGATAAACAAGCTTAACAAAACAACCTAGGATCTGCAACCAATTACCTAAGAGGAATAGAATTTGATATTATAAACTGAAAAAAGAAACACAGACATAAACTGAACATTAGGATAAGTAGAGCAATTATCCATGCAACCAATTTCAATTTTCTGTGTTAGGTAAACTGCTTTATTCTTCTTACTAATTGGTTTTACAAGCATTACAAATCTGAATTTATAACACGAACTTGCACTCATAAAATGCCATTGTTATACACAGTTAGCTTGAACAGTACTATTAAACCAAGTTTGAAAAACACCATTTAAAATATAAATTGAGAAGAACAAGCATGGGATAAGAAGTCTGAGTCCTCAAATACAGTAACTTAAAAGACAGTGATCCCAATCACTAACTGTTCCTTACAAAGAGACTTAAGCAATACTTCAAAAAACTGCACATTTTGTTACATTAATTAACAAGAGCTGGAATTTTGTTTTCTGTCTTATAAAAAGTGTGTGTAGCATTATAAAAGAGAAAAGTAGCTTTTATCTAGAGGTTTTTGTTTTTAATTTTTAAAAACATAAAACACATAAAAAAATATAGTGTCAAATTTCTTCCTACCTACATTCCCTGAGACTAATCACAAAATTAGAATGAGTAGTTTTCTTTCCAAAGCATCTTTTTTGGGGGTAAAGGGGAAGTTATGTATTTATTGTAAGCACTGAAATGTATCACTTTCAGATAGAATATTTTCCCTATAAACTAGGCAATTTATTTTAAGAAATAAACTTGTTTCAAAAGCCAACTATTTTTAAGTAAAAAATTCGACACTAAATGGTTGACATAAAAGAAATTCCAGATGTTAAAGTATTAGCAAAACAAAACAAACAAAACAAATGTAGTTTAAAATTACATTAAAAAACAATGGATTTTTAAAGTATTTCTATGACTTTGCTTATACTTGCCTGAATACAGGTCAACTAGCCTGAACTACAGGTATTAAGAGTAGAAAACACAGGACTGTAGCCCTGGCTTTGCCTTTTAATTAGCCATGAATTTGGCCACGTTCCCTAATTTCTCAGATCTCATTTTCCATATAAACCAGGTACTAGCCAAAAAATAAAGAATTTGAGGATTAACAGGGTTTCCAGATAACACAGCTTAAGCCCTATCATTTCATGACTGTGGAAAGAAAGGCCCAGTGATTTTAGGAAACTGTTCTAAATTCTCACACAGACAAAACCATACTTAACATCCAAATCTAGTACTTATGCCACGAAACAGCTGTAAGTTTAAGAAAGCAGTGTGTATCTTTATATGCAAAGATAGCTACTGATTCACTACCAACAGCAGCATGATGAAAATGAAAGCTCTAACTGTGTGGCCCTTCTGGGATCAGTGAATAGGCTGTCCACATTGTTGGACAGGTTAAAGATAAACCCAGCGTTTTCTTTATGCACTATGTACTATAATAATGAAGTTAAATAATATACAGAAATTATACTGTTAGCATAGCTATCAAACTTTCAGGTTCCACAGGAATATTAAAAGTAAAATGATTCATAGACTCCACATTTGTCAGATCTAATTTTTCATTGTTTAAAATAACTGTTGACATTGCTATTGGTTCTTCAAAGAGAATTTTAGTTTTAAAAACTAAGATCAGTATTATATATACATATGAAAAAATGTCAATTGGTACTTTAAAAATGGTAATATATGCAAATTTTTACTCTAATCTGCTAAAGCAACACGTGCAATTGACACTATTATAAGAATATAGATAGTACAGGGTGGGGCAAAAGGAAGTTTTCAGTTGTTTGTATGGAAAATAAAATAATAATCAATAAATAGTAATAAAAGGAGAAATTGTGTTTTACATACCACTGTCAACGTACTTTGCCCTACTCTGTATATTTCTATCTGCATGAATTATTATATTCAGAGTTTGGATGGTCTTTCAAAAGTGAAAACACTTCTGACTTTGAGACAAATACTCACTTTTGAGAATAACTGAGCTTACTCTTTCCAAAAAAGAAACCCTATCAAAGCAAGTTGACTATAAATTCCTACTACTCTTGAGGAATATGTAAAAGACCCAAAAGAAAAGTAAATCTATGAAAATTAAATTTTGATGTTTCCACCTCTGCTTTTCTTTTAGATTTTATGATCAAAGATACCTAATCATAATTTACATAATTGTGTCTGTAAATGAAAATAATTAAAAGCATTTAACATCAAGCTGCCCAGGCAAGCTTAAAATTCTGTAACAACAATAACATACTTCCCCTACCCCGCGATATACTGTCACCATTTAAAATTTCAAATGGTAAATTAGGAAGGTATTTTAAGTCTATATTTCTAAGTTAAGCAAAGTATAATTGCACAGACTGATGACTGTTGCTATTGCACTTTCGTAAACAAATATTTGCTTCTCACTACATCCCTTAGGACAGGAATTATTATTCCCATTTTATAGGTTCAGAGAGTTTATAAAACCCACCCAAGGTTGTATACTTTGTAAATATAAGACTAAGAACACAAACCAAAATTCTGCGAAGGGTAGATCATGAGTAAAAAATCCACAGCAACAATAAAGGAACTAGTATTTCCTAGGATAGTTGGTAGGCCCACCACTAAAATGGCAGGTTAATGCACTACAGTTGGGATATAAAGGCTGGAATAGTGCCACTGAAGACAATTTTACAGGTCCTAAATACTAAAAAGGTAAATTTTCTTCAACAAGTGGTGAAAAGGATCCAGGGATTTTTAAATGGGTGCATCGTGAGAAAGAAAAATTAAACCTGCAGCAAGGAGGAAAAAAAAATTTACTCAGCACTCTTAGCATGGTTCCTTGCAGTTTACATTACAAAAGGCTGGGGTGATGGGAGGCATGATATGAGGTGATAAGGCCTGATTTATAAAGTAACTTAAACCCTAAATACTATACTAGAAAATCATAATTTAAGGGGTAAAAATGCGGGGCACAGTCTAATAAAAAATTGTTATCTCACTAATAAGACAAAACAAACACTGATGATCTAAACATCAGGGAGTATCCAATGTTTAAAAATAGCCTTACCTTAGATCAGGTGATTCGGCCCTCCCATATCGATCCTGCCACTTCCCAACGCTTGAGTTGGCTTTTCTGGAGGCAGTACTTGTCTGAGACTGAGAAGAGGTGCTGTTTCTGGCGAGATAAATTTTCTATGTTTTTTCTTATATATTGTTGCCTCTGACCCCCCTTGTTCTGTTTTTTTTTCCTTGACATGCTTTTTCTAAAATTCTTTATCATGTTCCTATAGTATCATTCTCTTCAAGTCACATAAAATAATTTGCTGTTCTACTAAGACAGCTAGTGGTATATAAATACAGATGTGATATCAACATTTTATTAACTCTAGAATATTTCTAGAAGTATTTTGCCACATAGATGATATCATGTCAAAATACAGAAATAAAAGAACCAAAGGCTTTCTTCAGGTTATGTTATCAAGAAATAAATTTCTGAGCTTTTATGAAGTAATGATATTGATTTCTGTAGTTTCACAAAACATTCAGAATTATGGTATTTTTTTCCCCCTAGATTCTTCAATAATAGCTGTTAATATTGTCAGGGTAACCAGTAACACTGTCATGTATTTCATAAAACCTACCCTAAATTAAGTATTTCATAAAAATTCACTTCAAAAATCATTTAACTTATTTTTAAAAAAAGGGGGGGACAACATACAGGAAGAATAAACCAGAAACTAAATGAAATGAAACTGGTTATTGACTGGAGTGAAAGAAATAGGGGAAAAAGTGACAAACCTGAATGTGCTTTGGGATAGCCGTGCCTTTGGAATTATGTTAAATATTTTATGTAAAAAGCAATTATGTCAATAAGCATGGTGGAAAAGAAATGCTAAAACTGAATATAAAGAGAAGCAAAAATCGTATTATGTTTTAAATGGTTAATATAGTCACTCTGAAAGAACCTTTCCAAATACAATATTTTGACTATATACTCTCAGTCTAAAAAACAGATGCAAAGATATCTTGAAATCTAATAGGTTTTTTGTAATGGTAGGTATAGAAGTTCTAATGCATTTTATGTGTATTTTAAAATGAAGCAAATGAAAAACACTGAAGTTCTCAGGAACTAGGTTTTCACTATGGGAAAAGGGAGGCGCAGTATATAATAGGGAAAGAAAAGTAGTATCAAACTGGTGGTATCAAACTGAAAAAGAAACTGAAAAAGAATCATGCTAGATGATTGCATGATTAAAATTTATAAATAGAACACACACATGGCAATTTCACACTGAAATTGCTTATTGGCTTTTTTCTAGCTTTGGGTGCTGAAAAGACCTGCAAATAGTGACACCCCAGTAGCAGTAAGCATAAATAGTGCCAAGATTTTGGTTTCTAATTACCAATTCCCACTAAAAGGCATCTTGTCAAAGTGATGGCTGCTTCTGGGAAAGGGCCAGGTAAATTACAAGATAAGCCTAGAACATCTATCTGGTCATGACAGAAAGTAAAAAAAATTCTTAAAAATTAAAAAGATAGGGACATATCAAAAGGTCACAAGAGCCAGTTTGAAGAGGCTCCCATGGACCAAATCTGGAACAATTTGATCATGAGTATCAATTACAGTATATATAAATCAATATATGAATAGTTTATATACCACAAATAAGCCATGCACACACTCTCTCACACATAAAATAAAAATGAGTTTGGCCTACAATAAATAAATAAATGGGGAGAAAGGGAAAGCCCACTTTTTACATAGAATGCCAACTAATAAATGTGAGAAATAACAGAGTTGTTTAGCAAATGACTATTTTGTAGCCATTACATTAATAACTGATTAAAGCAAAAATGAATGGATACTAAAAGTCCTGGAAATTTCTAAGGGAAACAGAATTATTTACATAGTCTGCTCAGGTTACTTATTAAATACAAAGGGGAAACACAGTAACTTTGCACTGCAAAAATCCAAAAGATACCACTACAAATAAGTGATTCAAGTTTTCCTCACTAATAATGGGACAAAGTGACATCATGTACCTCCAGGATAATGCACTGAGAAGGACACAGCATCACTTACGTAGCATTCCTGCCCCCAAAGCAAAACCTGAATCTTATAACAAAGATATATCAACAAAATGATTGGAATGTACTCTTTAAAATTCAGTATCAACAAATACAAAGAAATGTCTGAGATGCTGTCCCAGATTAAAGAACACAGAGATAAGAAACTTAATTGTAATAAATGATCCTGGACTGAATCCTAATCAAGAAGGAAAGAACTTCCAAAAAAGAACTGGCAAAATTTATGGCTTGCATTATGTCTTTAATGGTATTACTGTCTTCTCCCTAAAGTTAATAAAATTTTACTTTCAAAGATGTCTCTCTAATCTCCACAAAAATAAAAAATAGAAAAAAGAAACATTTATCTAGGAAAATACTTCACAATCTCCAAAAAGTATCCTTTTGACCAAGTGAAGATGAATCCAGAAAACAAACTTTCCTAATGAAATTTCACATCCAAAAGTGAAATCCTGGTTAAGTTTCTATAAGGGTTGTGTTGGTAATTATCCATTTTTTTAGCAGTAAAATTTTAAGTTTTTCTATCACTCTTTACCTCCTTTTTACTGCCCCTTATTTACCACTGTCCTCCCATCTCTCCTAAGATCCATGGTCCATCATCAGAACCACTCCCTCAGGTACACTCTCACCTTCATTGTCCCTTCCTTATCCTCTTGTCCTATTTGTCTGGAATAAGCTCAACCTCCAGTACACCGGACTGTAGCTACTCTTGATAAATACATGAATAATAGACAAGGGCAAAAGAAACATACCGGAGAGCAAACTGACTTATATTAAACTCATGACCATTAATCTCAAGAAAAGCTGGAAATGTATAGTCTCTCTCCCCCATGATATCAATTCTTTACTTTACTAACTCATTCCTATCAGCATATTAAATGCTCTAATTTCTCCCACCTTGAAAAAATGTGCTTTCCTGACTCCACATTTCCCTACAGGTACTGCCTAAAATCCTACTTCTTTCCCCTGGTTTATTCACCTCTAAATGATGATTTCAGACCCCCCCACTTGTCAAACATTCAACACTTCCTTCCACTATCCTCCATTTTCACCAGATTCCTCTGCTGCTAAGAAAAAATTAAAGTAGTAAGAGAATTTTCAATTGTTCTCTCACCACTACCTATCCACTTACCTTCACCACAGCCTGCTTTCCCTCCTGTTACTATGAGTGAATTGTCCGTGCCCCTTCTTAAGACTAAATGATCCACTTGCATATGACATCCTATTCCCTCTGACCTCCTTAAGGTCACTGCTCTATCTGTCCCTTCTCTAGAAACTCATTCTCCTAAGGATACAAATATGCTGTAATTTCTTTCATTTTGAAAAATGCTTCGTTCTGATCCTACATTTCCCTCCAGATGCTATACTGTTTCTTTTGCCTCCTCAAAAAAAAGAAAAAAAATCCTCAAAATAGTTATGCTTATTTTCTCATTCTGATTCCTCTCCTTCCATTTTCTCTTGAATCCAAAAAGTCCTTCCAAAGTTTTTTTTTTCCCCCAATCTTCACCTTATACCACTGAAAATGATTCTGGTCAGAATTACCAATGACTCACATTTTAAAATCCAAAAGTCATGCTTAGTATTCTTCTTCTTGGTCTCTCAGTCCTACTTGATGGTTAGTCACTCTTCCTACTTTGACATGTATCCTTTTCCAGATATACACTGGATTTGTTTTCATCCTCACTAACGGTAGTTACTCTTCTCTACTGGTCTCCTCTTACTGGCTCATTCTTATTTTTGTGACCTGCAGAGTACCCCACGGCTGTCCTCTTACCAGTTGTCCATCAGTACACACCTCTTCTGAAATCTTCCTCAGTTTCATTTTATACTACCTAAACACTAGCAACTCTCAAATCTGTATCTCCAGGCCACACCTTTCACCTCTACTTCAGATCCATGTAGCTACTTCCTATGCAAAATGTCCACTTGCATGTCTAATAGGCATCTCAATTTTACTATATCCCCAAATTGAACTCTTGGTCTTTTGCCTGCAAAAGTCACCCCTCCTGTAGTCTTTTCCATCTCAGATATAAAAAATATGTACACACTGTTATACCTTTTGAAGTGCACCAAGTATCTGGCTATACTTCTCACCACCTGCACCATTACTACCTTGGTCCAAGTTACCATAATCTGTTTCCTACATAATTATTAAAATCTCCTAACTGGCCTCCCAGTGTCTGCCCTTAACATATATGTGGTCTGATCTAAATATAGCAGTTGAGACTTTCAAAACTTGAAGCAGATTATTTCATTCCTCTGCTCAAAATCTGATGGTTATTCCCCATTCATTTCATTTACAGGAAAGCCAAAGCCCTTTTAATGCTCTACACAATCTAACCAAAGTTTAAAAGAGAAAGGGGGTGGGGAAGTATGCAAAGTACATAAAATTGCTATTGATTTTTAAATAGTTTAGTTTATTATGATAATAGCAAACATGGATAGAGTATTTATTTACTATGTGGGTAAATACCAATGATCTAAAAAGCTTTACAGAAATTAATCCATTTAATATACATAACTACCCTCTGAGGGAAGTATTATTACTATGTTTTACAGATCAAGAAGTGAAAGAACAAGAATAGGGGATTTGCCAAAGGACACATAGGTAGTAAGTAAAAAGAGCCAGAATTTGAAGTATAGCTCTAGAATCGAAGTTCTTTAACATCACTCTGTACCACAGAACACCATGAACTCAACGAATGAAAATTGGCCTCTTTTAAAATATGGGAAAAAAAACAAACCAAACAAAAAATGCTATATATTAAAAGGATAAATATTCCACAGCTGGTATAACTTCTTGGCCAAACATTTTATGAAACTGCACTTAGTTTAAATATTTCTATTTGGAAATGACCATGACATTAAGATGAGAAGAGAAAGTCAAATTCAATGGCTTTGTGACATTCAATTTTAGCTGAAAGTTTCAAGATATCTATTTTAGGACTAAACTATATAAGGTTTCTTCTTGCATTTGTATATTATAAAATATAATCTCTTATAGCAATTTAAAATTGCAGAGTAACAAGACAGATAACTATAAAATATAAGCCTGTAACACAAAAGGTAAATGATCTGGCTAAGAACTAGTAATAGTTGGGTTACTGACTTATTCCAGGCTCAGGGAATTAAATGATTTAAGTCAAGTGTAACACAAGATTAAACTGCTGACATGGAACTTCCCAAGTCTTATCTAATCCTTTACCATTTTTCTCCTAACAGGCTAATCATTTGTTGCATTCAAATTAAAAGGTACCTTCCAGCATATTTGCTTCTCACAAATAGCATTTTGTGGAATTCAAAGTTAAATGGTATCACAACAAACCAAGAAAAAAAATGGTTTTAATATGAAAGATCTCCCAGGCTAGAATATCTACAATCTCTTTTATTAAAATTAGTAAAACACCTTTAGGCCAATAGGTCTGGATTTAATGAAGTCCAATAATTCTTTATATTATAATAATAATAAGCACAGAAACAGCAAGACACTGCTGTCACCGCCTCTCCTGAATGTAAAACTGTCTCTATACCCACATGTAATTGTAATACCGTACTTCATTTCTTGCTTACTTTTTTAAGATAAAAGAGCACCCAGACAAGTTTATCACAAATAATTCACTTTGTACTAAAATAAAGTAGAATGTTCCGGTTTTTTGGTAGCACACGTGGAGCTTTTTACACTTCATACAGCACTCACTATACAAGGTGCAGATACCAATGCCTTCAATAAGCTGAGTTATAATGGTCTAACTAACCTGCTTGGTGGGAGCCCAGTCTTGAACAACGAAGGAGGAGAAGTAAACTCAGCTTTTGTAGATGGAAGTGCCGTTTCCTTCTCTGAATTTCCAGTTCTTCCCTGCTGTACCTTAAAAAAAAAGGTTATTAGCTTTTTTAATTTAAGAAAACACAAAAATAATAGAGGTATTAAAATAAATTTGTAACATTTGCTTCCAAATTCAGTAGAGAATGTTTTATTGGTATTTAATAAGATTAACCTATTTTAGAATAGCATTAAGTGAAAGATACCGAAGATGATTATGAAATCAAAGTGTTCCCAATAATTAAAAATTTCACATTAATGTCACTTAAAAGTCCAATAAACTGTAACTCTTCAGGACTGTTGTTAATTCCCTCAGATCACCAATTATAAGTCCAAGATACTTGATTACAATGCCATGTTTCAGAAATTAAGAGGTGCTTTGAAGAATTTTCCCATTCCATATTCACTACCCTTAGCCATTCTCACCATTTTCTCTTCAGACTGGGATCTGCTCTAACACAAATATTATTGATCTGCTTCTATATATTTCTATACCATTTCTCTCTTTTCCCACCACCATCACCATCCTGCCAGTTCTATACACTGGCAAGCTGGAACTCAGTTATCTGTCTCCTTAATACCTCTTCTTCCTCCTCTTTATATTTACTTTAAACCAGCTGTCTACTTACTCCATAATTTCTCCCAAATTTGTCCATCCTTTCTGCTCCTATCAGATTCTTTGAGTATGGTCCATCATTCTCCTTTACAATAGTGAAGTATCTTCTTATACTCTTGCTTTTATACCCACCTTCCTACCTTAAAACTGTCATGAATTTGTTAAATATAAACAAATATGAAAGATCTCCCAGGCTAGAATATCTACAATCTCTTTTATTAAAATTAGTAAAACACCTTTAGGCCAATAGGTCTGGATTTAATGAAGTCCAATAATTCTTTATATAATAATAATAAGCACAGAAACAGCAAGACCACTGCTGTCACTGCCTCTCCTGAATGTAAAACTGTCTCTATACCCACATGTAATTGTAGTACCGTACTTCATTTCTTGCTTACTTTTTTAAGATAAAAGAGCACCCAGACAAGTTTTTCACAAATAATTCATTTTGTACTAAAATAAAGTAGAATGTTCCAGTTTTTTGGTAGCACATGTGGAGTTTTTATACTTCATACAGCACTCACTATCCAAGTTGCCATGCACTTGAGTAACATTACACCATCTTTTGTGCCCTATTAATATTCTACTGCCCCTGTTCAGACCAAATTATGCAACTCTCCTTTCCCCGTGAGACAAAGGCCAAGAGACTCTCAGAAACTGTGACTGACACAGTCAAACCAGATTCAATTCCAGAAACCAACTACCTCTCAAATAATCACTGTGAAAAAAAGAAACCCTTATTTATGCATTGGAGCCATTATACTCAGATCTCTTATTAATACTGCCGTATCTAGTGCCTAATTGGTGCCTCAATATAATTAGGGCTTAACATTGACACTTTATGTGAAAAAATTTCTACTGCTTAAAAAAAAAAAAAAAACCGGACTTCCGCCAAGATGGAGGCATAGGTGGATGTGCCGCCTTCTCCCACAACCAAGATTAGAGAAAACTAAATATTAGCAACAGAAAACACAGCCAGAACACGGAAAATTGAACTTTTCGGAAGTCCGTTAACAACAAATTCTTCAGCCTGACCGGTAAGGGGCGAAACCAGCGGCTGGCGGAGCAGGGTTGCACAGGAGGACTCGGCCAGACGCACTCAGGCCGCGGAATCCAGGCGCAGGGTCGGACCTAGTGAGCGACCCAGCGAGCAACCAGGCGAGCGACCTCGGGGGAGACAGCCGGGCCCGGGGCTGCGTGTTGACTGAGGTCGCGCATTTGTGCGAGGGTGGACAGGCGAGGGAGTGGGCGGTTGGACCGGGCCCGCAGGTCCCTACGGCAAGCGGCAGTGGAGGGCGCCGCCATTTCCCTGCTCTGACCCCACCTCCACATACAGCGTCATAACCCAGCGACTCTGAGTGGCCCAGCCCAGGTGAACCACCTAAGGCACTGCTCCTCCGCACCCAGCTGTGAGAAGCAGCAGAGGGGGTCGCCATTTCCCCGCTCTGGCCACACCCCCACATACAGCGTCACAACCCAGCAACCTGGGAATCCAAGCCGCCGCTTCTCACACTTAAAGGGCCCGAACAGACCAAGAATGGCGCGGGAGGATCTCAGAGCCCCAGAAATAAATCTAAGTGATGAAGAAATAGCAAAACTCACAGACGCACAGTTTAAAAAATTGGTGATCAGGATCCTCACAGAACTGGTTGATTATACGGACAAATTAGACAAATATATGAAGGCAAAACGAATTGAAATGAATGGAATTGCACAGGACACCAATAGCAATGAAAAGGAAACTGGGACTCAAATCAATGGAGTGGACCAGAAGAAAGCAAATAATGGCCAAACAGAAAAGAGTCAAGGAGCAAGAATTCAAAGAAATGAGGAGAGTCTTAGGAACCTCCAGGACATCTTTAAACGCTCCAACATCCAAATTATAGGGGTACCAGAAGGGGGAAAGGCACAGCCACCAGTGGAAAACTTATTTGAACAAATAATAAAGGAGAATTTCCCCAATCTGGCAAAGGAAATAGACTTCCAGGAAATCCAGGAAGCTCAGAGAGTACCAAAGAAGTTGGACCCAAGAAGGAACACACCAAGGCACATCGTAATTACATTAGCCAAGATTAAAATGAAGGAGAGAATCCTAGAAGCAGCAAGAGCTAAGGGGACAGTCACCTACAAAGGAGTCCCCATCAGACTGTCAGCAGATTTCTCAAAAGAGACCTTACAGGCAAGAAGGGGCTGGAAAGAGGTATTCCAAGTCATGATATCCAAAGACCTACAACCAAGATTGCTCTATCCAGCAAAACTTTCATTTAAAATGGAAGGACAGATAAGGTGCTTCTCAGATAAGACCAAATTCAAGGAGTTCATCATCACCAAGCCCTTATTATATGAAACGTTAAAGGGACTTATCTAAGAAAAAGAAGTTAAAGAAACATGAACAGTGAAAGGACAACAAACTCTCAGTTATTAACAACCACACCTAAAACGAAAGCAAACTAAAAGGACAGCTAGATCAGGAGTGGAAACATAGAAATGAAAATCTCAAGGAGGGTTAGCAACAGGGGAGTGGGAGGAGGAAAAGGGGGGAGAAGGTACAGAAAATAAGTAGCATAGACAGTAGATAGAAAATAGATGGGGGGGGCAAGAATAGCATGGGAAATATAGAATCTAAAGGACTTGCGACACATGGTCATAAACTAAAGGGGGGGTGATGGTGGGGATGGGGGGTAGGGTGGAGAGGAATAAAGGGGGAATAGAACAACTGTAACAGCATAATCAATAAAAAAAAAAAAACCTATTTAAAAGGCACTGACCCTAATGAGGATGAGGAGTATCAGCATTAAGACAATGAGGATGGATCATAAAAAGAAATGGATCTGATAGACCACCTACCTGACAGGTAAACTTGACAGAATGTGGTGACGGTAACTAAATAGCATTCATTCAAACATTTACTAAGTATCTACTTGTACCAGAATTTGAGACTATACAGAAAAATACAACAAAATCCCAGACCATGGGAAAACACAAACATACAAACAATGAGAACAGTAAAATGAATGCTATGAAAAAAATATCTATGAGAAAAAGCTGCTATGAGAACACAGGAAAAGAAATGTATCGCTCTTCCTGAGGATGTCAGGAATACTCAGGAGTTGACACTGTGGTCTCAACTGCTACCCTGAGCTTTAGTAATTTATATTCAACTCTTACATGTTCAGTAAGTATCTCAAACAAAACTACTGATTTCCCACTACCCCCAAGTCTGGTCCTAAGTCTTTCTCACACAAGTAAATGGTACAATCAGCTGACAACTTACTTAAGAAAAAACTTCCTAGGAATTACCCAATACATATGAATAGCCAATGTTGACTTTACCATTACAATATACATCAAATTCAAGCACTTATTATATTATGTCCACTCCTAAAAGCAGGTCAAACACACTGCCACCTCTCAATCATTCTACTAAATTAACTTGTCTTTCTGCTTTTGTCTCACCTTTCTAAAATCCACGGTCTGTACAGAGCAAAAACAATCTAATTAAAGTATAAATGAACTCACGTCTCTCCCTGCTCAAAATTCTTTAATAGCTTACCAATGCAAACAGAGTAAAAGCTAAACTTCCTAAATGATTTAGGAATCATTTACATGAATGGACATGGGCGCTGCATGTCTTTTCCCTTTTGTTTTCCTCTATTCGTCCCCAACTTATCTTTACTTTGGCTAGTCATAATGGCCTTTTTTCTTATTCTTTTTAACATATAAAATCCTCTTTCTGAGAGCCTTTGAACTAGCTGTTCCTCGAATTCTGAATACTACCTCCCAAGATTGTATCATGGCTACCTTTTTTCCAATCATTCAAGTAGGCCTTCTCTAACCATTCCTGAACACTCTCTATCGTAGTATTATTTGGTATTTTCTTCATAGAATTTCTCCTTAGTATAGTTATCTGAAGTTATCTTATTTACTGTTGTATAGTTATGGTCTGTTTGCTGCCTCAGTAACATGGAATCTTTTAAAACATGGCCAATGGCCAGTATCTACATCCCAAGTGCCTAAAAACAGTGCCTGGCCCTGGCTGGTATAGCTCAGTGGACTGAGCGCGGGCCTGCGAACCAAAGGATCACGGTTCGATTCCCAGTCAGGGCATATGCCTGGGTTGCAGGCCAGTTCCCAGCAGGGGACGCACAAAAAGCAACCATACATTGATATTTCTCTCCTTCCCTTCCCCTCTAAAGATAAATAAATAAAACCTAAAAAAACAAAAACAAAAAAAAACAGTGCCTGGCATGTAGTAAGTGCTCAATATACTATATTATTTGATTGACTTTGGAACTCAGCTTAAATGTCAGTTCTTTCTTCGAAGTATTTCACAGGACACAGAGTTTATAACTACATAAGTTTTGGAATTACCATTTAATCAATACCTATCTTTCCTCTGAAGTCAGATAAACTCTAAGGCACACAGTAT